AAAGCAGTGACAAGGAGATGGAAAAAACAAGTTCTACTGATGCTTGGGAGGTTGAACTGACAATGTTGATTATGGGAGATGAGGGAGAGGCTGGGATTGAGCACGACTCCCAAATTTCCAGCTTCAGTAGATGGTGGGGCCATTTAACCGGAAAGAGCCGCTGGCTTGCAATGATTTGAAGTATGAATCCATGGTAGAAATTACACTAAAGAAGTGTAGCCTGTTCTTGCAAGAAAGTAGGCTATAAAGTAAGAGAACATAAGGAGGAGTCTTTAGTGGCTGTTTTTTTGTTGTTTGTTTTTTTGATCGTGAGGTTAACGCTTTATAAAGGTCTCGTTGTTAATGTGATTCTCTACTTGCAGAGTGGAACATTCTCAGACTCTGTGATTCTTTAATTTTCTTGAAGTGGCTCTTTTTGCTTTTTGTTCACGGTTTAACCACTTTAAACATTCCCAGCTATAGCTAGCTGCAAGAATGTAAGTTCTGTTTCTCGTCATGAATTTCTTCTTAAGGCCATTACCTTTGAAATTGTTTGATACATTAAAAAAAAAATCTCAACAAAACAAAAAGTTGAGAAACTGAAATACTAAAGAGATTTGGCCTATTTACAAGAAAGTAAAAGATAATGAGAATACATAACTTTATAAGGTTAGGTTAAGTTATGCTTAACTGCAAACAACTTTGTGAAACGTTTCCCTTCCTTTTTATTGTTTTTAAAATAAAAACAGTTTAACTTTATTTTATAGTTCTGTGAATTTTAATAGGTAGAGATTTGTGTTCAGGCCATTTAATAGGTAGAGATTTGTGTTTAGCCCATTAAAACATGGGCTAAAAAGTGAGCATGCTTACAGGTATTGTGTATTCCGGAATTGCTTTGAACTGGAGTTGATGAGTGTTGGAACAAATAAATCCCAGACAACTTATGATTTAATTTTATAGGCACACATTCATAAATTGGATTTAGGTAGTAATTCCAGAAAAGCATACACAGGAGAATCATTTGCTGTGTGTTCATTTATTCTACAAAGATTTAGTGGGTACCCGTATGTTGAAGTCTGCTAGATCCTGTAGGAGGGGAAGTAAGAGGATTTAAATATTGCTGCTCATACTTGGTAGAAGGGGAGATGTTTCTTGGGTGTGGGTAGTGGGTGGGAGAAGGGAAAGGGTGTTCTGATGCAGGGTCAGGGAAGGCTTCTTGGAAGAGGTGGCATTTGAATTGTTTTCTGAGAGACAGCTGTTTATTCTCTTTGACTAGTCTGTTTCATGTGACATCTTTGGTTAATTACTCTCTTTCTTGAAACTCTTCCCTCATTTGATTTTCTAGCACTCTAGAATCCAGCACCACCTCCTATCCCTGTGTTACCTGTCAAGACTTTTATGGTTCCCATATCTCTCCTAGGTCCTTTGTTTTTTCTTTCCTTCTTTATCAGTGGTACCCTTTACATCTTCAGCTTTGAATATTTCCCTGGATGTTTAACCGTAAACTGAGTTTGAGCCCAAGCTGTCTCTGAACCTCTATCCTGCATTTCCCGCTGAGGCCTCCCTAGCCGCTCACATTTAATTTGTCTGAATCTGAACTCTCCCCTGCAGTGCACAGATCCCCCCTCCTTCCTTTTTCTTTGCCCGTTGACTGTTGAGTGCCTACTATGTGCTAGGTGCTAGTTTATCATTCCTTTGATTCCTTAGGCTTGGAGTCTTAGAGTCATTTTTGTTCTGTCTCCTTACCACCCGTCTAAAGGAGTATTTTATTTCTCTTAATTCTATCTAATGTTTTACAGTCTTTTTAGTTCTGTTCATGCCCATTATCTGTATGCTTGGCTCACTGTAGTGGTCTTCTAAATGTAGACTGCCTTCTTCATTATCAGCATCACCATTGCTTACTGAGTGTCTACTATGTTCAAAATGTTGCTATCATGCCATGTTGTATAGATTGGAAAATGGGCTAATGGGTGAGAGAAAACAGACCTGGAATGAGAAAGGAGACCATCCTCAACTCCACGGTGATAAGGCAATGGCAGAATCAGCAGTGCGGAGTGAGACTGATGGCATCTGGAGGAGGAAGGGTACTTAAGCATGTGGAGAAGGTTTGGGGGAAGGTATTGAGTGGTCAACATGTGAGGGGTAGAAATCCACATGGTGTGGCAGGAGAGCTGTGAATTGAAAAGTTCAGCTGGGACTGGACTGTGATAGGTGTAGTATGCCTGCATGAGAAGTCTGGGCTTTGTCCTGTAGAAGTGAGGATATAGAGAGGGCATGGACAGAACTGGGGAGAATGTCGTATAAGAACAATGCTCTTAAAGAAAATGTGGAGGTGGTGTGTAGGCTGGCTTTGAAGGAAAGAAAGGCCAATTAGGACCTCACACAAGTTGGCTGTGACAGTTTTGTTTCTTTTCTCTAATTCATTCAAAACATGGAGGCTGCCAGGTTAAGTTTCTGGGTCACAGCTTTGATCATATCCCTCTCCTGCTTAAATGCCCCCAAAGATTCCCTGTGCCTTGAGTGGTTCTTTGGCCGGCTCTGGGGTGGCCTTTGTAATCACAATTCAGCTCACCTTTCCAGCATTATCTCCTCCTCCTCCTCTTCAAGCACCAACATGGGCTCTCACAGATTTTTCCTTTTCTCGAACACTGTTTGGGAAATTGTGCTAATTGAAATTTCACCAGCCTTCTGCATGCTTATGATGCCTTCCATGGCCCTCTCAGTCAGTAGTAGTATTCTTACCCCTGCTCTTCCCTAATATGTACTGCTTGTACTGTTTATTTTTGGTTAATCAACAGCTGGCATGATTTCTTCTGTAGCTGCTGAAACTGTTGAATTAATGTTCATATTGCTGTTGAACATTTCAGTTTTGTTTCTCCAATAGTCTGTAATGTCCTTAAGGGCTGGCCCCATGCTTGACACTTTTTTATGTGGCTACAGCCAAGATATGGGTATCTGCTACTGCCCCAGTCATGCTGTTTGGAACATGGTAATATTTGCTGACCTTCAGTTTTTTTCCGAACAGCCAGGCAGATTTTGCAAGATTCTTGAGGCCCAGTGCAATAACATATTTGAAGATCCCAGCTTTTACCAGGATGGTGGGCATCGGATGACTAGATCCAGGAAGAACTTTTGTTTCTTTTAGTCTTATTGTACCTTCTGTGGGTGAGGTTTTTTTCAGTGACCACAGAGGAGTCAGGAATATCCCCTTGACTTATATTGGGTTCCCAGCTCCCATTACAAGTGGGTCTTTTTTTCAAAGGGAGTAGTCTAGTTTGATTTTTGTCTTGAGATAATTGTCCCTGAAAACCAGGATGTGATGTCAACCAAGTTAAACTTTTTTTATCCCAACTATACAGAACTAAGTTAAAAATGGATGCTTATACTTTGCTGTTAAGTAGGTTGGAAGACTCTGCAGAAGCAAAATTAACATTATCTAGATCAGAGAAATAATTGCAAGCACCTAAGTTAACAAAGACTAAAGGCTGGAAAACTTTGATCAGGGGTGTTAAAGCACGTGCTTTTTAGATAAAGGTGATGTAACCTGAGGATTCTAGATTAATTTTCTTCCCACCTCCAGGGTTGGCAGGCTGGTGTACATTCGAGGTAAGTGCTAAGGGGACACACGGGATGGCTTTATGTTTTTGGTTTTTTTTTTTTTAAGATTTTATTTATTTATGTGACAGACAGAGATCACAAGCAGGCAGAAAGGCAGGCAGAGAGAGAGGAGAAAGCAGGCTCCCCTCGGAGCAGAGAGCCCGATGTGGGGCTCGATCCCAGGATCCTGGGATCATGACCTGAGCTGAAGGCAGAGGCTTTAACCCACTGAGCCACCCCGGCACTCCTGGCTTTATGTTTTTATTGAGGAGCCTCGTGCACCATTTTTCCAGTAATGTAAACCATATTAATTTGTAAGGTGTGACAATTGGGACTTTTTAGATACCTGACTCTTCTGTGTGTGCTATGCAAAGGAAGGGACAAAAATGAATAATATAAGCAAGAGAGCTGAGAATATTCAAACGAGCAAACAGTTTTAAGTTCTTTTAGCTGCTGTAGAGGCACTTATGTGGAAACAGCTGACCTACTAATTAGAAAACATCCTTGCGTATTCATTAAATTAATTATCCTAAAGAATTCTGCTAGGCAACACTTTGTCTAGTTCTAATTATTGTGTGCCTTTGAAAGCAATAAACTGCACTTTCAGAATAAAATTTTATAATGTAGACATATACATGGCTTACTCAGACACCTCCTGTAATTAGAGTGGGGTAGTAATGATGGGTCATTCTTTGGTTTTTATTAAAAAGGCTTATCCACCTCTTTCATAGGGAGATTATAATGAATTATTAAATAATGTATGTTTAGATCTGAGAACTCCTTGGAGATCATTATTGTTCAAATATGAGAGGTTTTTAAGGTTATCTTTTCAGATTACCATGGATCTTTTTTTTTTTTTTTTAACAGATTTTATTTATTTATTTGTTAGATTGAGAGAGAGAGACAGAGAACACACAAGCAGGGGGAATGGCAGGCAGAGGGAGAAGCAGACTCCTCACTGAGCAGAGAGCCTGATGTGGGACTCGACCCCAGGACCCTGGAATCATGACCCAAGCCAAAGGCAGATGCTTAGCAGCTTAACCAACTGAACCACCCAAGTGTCCCCTTATATATATATTTTAAGAATGAACATCATATTATGACTAAATACAGTGGTAAAACTTTTCTGTCATAAACATTATGTTCAAATAAGGATAAGGTGAATTGCCATTCATGCACTTGCATTGCCCTGTTTTTTTTTCCCACTTTGCCCTGCAGAGCTTTTTTCTAACCTTAGAACCCTGGTTAAGAAGTATAGTGAAAGAACGCACGCTGTATACCCTGTGGTCTGCACCTGCAAGCAGCTGTGTGAGAGCTGAGCTGACGTGAACGGGGAGCGGGTGCTGCCAAGGCGCTCTCGGCTGGCTCTTGAGCAGCGTTTGGATTGGGCCATATGCGTCCGTCTTAGGAGCCTGTGCTTCAGAGGCTGGTGCCTGGGTTCAAAGCTTCCATCCAGCATGAGGATCTAACCATTCTGCAGCTGGGTGACCTTGGGCAAGTTACTTAAGGCTCTTTGTTTATCTGTAAATGGGGCTAACAGTAGTTCGCACCTCCAAGGGCTGTTGTGAGGAACAAATGAATTATTGCATGTAAAGTGCTTTTCCATGGTAAGGGCTTTGTTCATTTATCCATGCATCCACTCATTACTTATTCATTCCACTCCTGTTGATTGTACACTCACTGTGTGCTGGGCCCTGCTGCGGAGGCGCCTTAGGGGTACAGCAGTCAGACAGATGAGGTCCCTGTCCTGTTGGAACCTAATTCTAGGGGGAAGAAACAGACTGTACATGATTAAACCAGTTAACAAGGTCAGGCACTAATAAGTGCTAAAAAGACAGTAGATAGGGAAATAGTGACTGGGTTATGAGGAAAGAGGTCAGTATTAACTAGGGTGGGTAGGAGCTTCTGAGGAGGTGATGTTCAAGCTTAGGCTTGAGTGATAAGAGCTAAATTCCAGCTCTGATTAAAATGAGAGTTTTCCTTTGTGTTGGTGGCTGTATCCATACTCTTCCTTTACAATCTCTTAACATCAGTATAAAATCCTTTGTAGCAGGATACTGCTCAGAGATCTTGAGCCCCTCTCCTGATACCACATGACTGTGTTCAAACAAGTCATTATCAACATCTTGGAGCTCATTTTCCCCAAACTTCATCTTGTCAGTACCCAGATCTGGCCACCCCTGGGTCTCTCTCCCTTGGCTCCAGCTGGTTGCTCACCCACCTTATTATGCCTGAGTTCCTTCAAGAGCCTGACTCTGTTATTACCAACCGATAGAAAGTACAGGACTGGGTTAAGGCAGCTGCTCATGCTCACCAGAGGCCTCCATATCTTATAGGCCATGCTGGCCACCATTAAGAGCTGGCAGTCCTGTGAAGATAGAAAGCGGAGTGTGAGGTAGAAGGAACGTGTGATGTGGAAGGGGACAAAGCAGAGGGTGAAGAGGCCGCACACCAGCAAGATGGTCCGGATGGACTTGGCCCGGGCTGCATTGCCTGTCCTCCTGAGGGTCTCTCCTGGCTTGATCAGGCTCCTCACCATCAGCGAGTAGCACACCAAGATGACCAACGAAGGTAAGGCGAAGCCAGACAGTGTCAGAACCATGCCATAGGCAAAGAACTGATCAAAATTCTCTGGGCCGGTCATGTCGTAGCAGACCATCTGGCCATTGATGTAGTCTGTGTGGGAGAAGAAGAGGGTGGGCAGTAGCTGGAGGACCACCAGGGCCCAGGTGGTGGCCGTGCCCAGGAGGGCGTGCCGGCGGCTCCTGTAGGGCAGCGAGCGCAGCGGGTGGCACACGCCCAGGAAGCGGTGCGCGGAGATGCAGGTCAATAGCAGGATGCTGCCGTAAAGGTTGGTGTAGAACAGGAAGCGCACCAGCCTGCACAGCAGCTCCCCGAAGGGCCACCTGTCACCCAGGGAGTAGGTGATGATGAGGAAGGGCAGCGTCAGCACGTAAAGCAGGTCAGCTACCATCAGGTTCACCAGGTAGATGGTGGCACAGCTCCAAGGCTTGGTTTGGCGCCAGGAGAGCCACAAGACCGTGCCATTCAGGGGTAACCCTAGTATGAGGATGACACTGTAGGTCAGGGACAGGTAGATTTGCTTGTAGTCCTCCGAGAACTTGCAGACTTGCTGGTCCCTCGAGGCATTAGTATCCACCATCTCCATTTCCTGGGATGCTCCCTCTGGGAGCACAGCTGCTTCTGTTTGTGCTTTACCTGGAAGGAAACAAAATGGGCAGCACAGCGTCATGAACTTGGCTGTGTGTGTTTTAGGCTCTCCCTTGATCTGGCATTCAACTCTGTGTTCCCAGTCTGGTCAGAGTCCTTGTTTGACATAGGCCAGCTCCAGGAAGAAAAAAAAAAATTAAACCCAAGGGCACAGGAGTCTTTTAAAGCAGGGCTTGTAGACTTACCAGCTCCAAAGGGCTGGCCTTCCTCTATCCTGTATGCTTTCTGCTCTAGGCTGGGATGTGATTAGGAAGCTCAAGTACACATGCTGCAGGGAGGTGCTGTAATTGCAACAGGGCATACAACCTCAAGCACTGTGACTCCTCTGCCTAGAATCCTTTGCATAGAGTCAGGAAATCTCCAAGGGCATTTGGATTTGTATCTCTTTCGGGATTTCTTAACTGCATATTTGAATACCGAGGCTGATTTGCTTATTAACCACCTCAGCATCCCGAACATACAAAACCAAATCTAAGCCATGAGGTCAGGTGCAGCTTCTTCCATACTCCCATCTCTGCTGAGGAAGCAGATCCAGTAGGCAGATCCAGATAGCGGAGGAAACTGTGTGTGGTGCCTGCACATTTCTGTCACGCTGGGAAGTCAGTGGGTTGGTCAGCCAACCACCATGGAGCCTATAGGAATGAAAAGAAATTTATTTCTAGGGTTTGACATTCAGAAAGACAAGCTAATACAGGGCAAGAGAGAAAGGTTTCAAACAGGTAACTGGCATAGATTGAGTGTTGACCAAAAGCTATAGCACAGCGCTACGGAGGGCTGACTATAAGCTGTAACACAGAGCTTTATTCACAACAAAAGGAACAGAGACCTCATTCACTCTGTCAGTCAACGAACATTTATTGAGCATCTATTGGGTCTGGCACTAGGGATACAAAGATGAATAAAATACAGCTCTTACTCTCCAGGATTTCAGTCTGGCGGGGAAGACAGAAACCAATACAGCTAATTGTTAACAATGTGAAGAATGGTCAGCAAAATGCTGTGAAGACCAGCAGGATCAGCAGTTCTCTGCTGAGCTGCCGTTTGAGCTGCTTGGGGAAAGAACAGAGGAGCTCGCTAGGCAAAGAAGGGTGAGGGGCCTTCCTTGGGGTTGGGGAGGTAGCCCACGAAAGGCAGTGGAGCTTAAGGCCTCCGCATTTCCTGGGGTGGCAGGGAAGCCAGCATGGGGGTGCCCCCAGAAGGAGGGTGGGTGTTCTTCAGCAGGATGGTGATGGGATGGGCTGTGTGTGAGGAAGATCCCCAATAGCAGCTAAGAGCCGGGCCTGGAGCGGCCAGACCGTAAGGGAGCTGTAGCGTGTACACAGGTGAGGGTTGTTCAGTTCCCCAAGTGAGGCCAGGCGGGGTGGGTGGAGGGTGGGTCTCTGGAGATGCTGCTGAGGCAGGAAGGACAGGTCTGCGTGGACATGGGGCACGCACCAGAGGAGGAGTCGAGGGTGTCCCTGAGACGGAGTGAGTAGGTGGTGAGGCCAGGACCTGAGCCAAAGCCTAAAGCTTGAACGTTGGGCCTGATGTTCTGAGGTTGGGGGACGGTGGCTCTTCAGGCTGCAGCTTGCAGAGGGCTCACCTCCTTGTTAACTGGCTTTGCAATCTATCTAAGGAGAGCAAAGCTTTTTGGCTGGGTGAGTAAAAGGAATGTAGTTTTCTCTCATTTTGTTCCCTGTAATCTTTCATGTTGGGGGGGTGGCAAATGCCTAGTTATTTTCAGCGAAGCTGCCTTCCCAGCTTGGTGTGGGCTCTCAGAGGGAAGACAAAGAGGGGAACCAACTTGGCTTAGTGCAGGCTCAGCCAGTTAGTTCACACTGTGAGCTTATTTAATCCTCAGAACAAGCTTGTGGAGGAAGCATTATTAGCTCCAGGTTACTGCTGAGGAAATTGAGGGTTAGAGAAGACCCCTCTATGGGGCTCACTAGGCCCTCTAATCTAGTATGCTGGTTCTTGATGTGGATTGTGGGTTTCTGCTCCCTCAGAGCGCCTTGTGGCATAGTGGAACGTGCTCAGATCTAGCTCTGCCAGGGACCACTAGCGCAGTTTGAACTAAGCCACTTTGTCTCTCGGAGCTGTGGTCTCTTCAGCTGTAAAATGGGGCAGTCTCTCTGTGAGGTGAGGTTGCCGTGAGAATTAGCTAGAAGAAAGGCACACAGCACCCACTGGCCTGCCGCAAGGGAGAAACCCAACATATTTTAGCTCTCTTCTCACACCTTCCTCCCTCTTTCACCAGGGACTATGGTGCCCTGAAAACCTGAGCTCTTTTGTTTGTCTGGGAGGATGGGAGGGCAAGTGTGCCTTTGCTATCCCATAATTGGAGAAAGTCCCTTTTTTCTCTGTGGTTATTAACTTCTGCTGTGGTCTGAATTATGTCCCCTACAGATTCAGGTGTTGAACCCTTAGCCCCTAATGTGACTGAAGTTGGAGTGAGGAAGTAATTAAGGTTAGATGAGGTCATAAGAGTGAGCCCTTAATTCTGTAGGATTAGTGTCTTTGTAATGAAGGACAGCAGAGCGTTGACTTTATGTGAGGACTTAGTGAGAAGGTGGCCTGCAGGCCTGAAACAGAGATCTCACCAGGAACCAAACCCTGCAGTTCTCGATCTGGGACTTCTCACTTTCCAGAACTGTTTCCACTGTTTAAGCCACCCAGTCTGGTATTTTGTTACAGCAGCTTGAGCAGGCTAAGATACTGTATATGTACTTCAAGGCCTACCTATTGTAGGGGGACAGCTTTTCAGGTGAGAGAATGACCATCTTAGTCAAGGGATAAGTGTAGAGAACTACATGGTGTTTAGACTAGTGTATCATTGAGGTTGCTATTATGGAGAAAGGAAGAGGAAGAAGAAAAAGGTCATAAAGGGTTAATTCACCAGCTGAAAGCCCTGACAGTGTTGACCATCCCCTCCTCCCAGAAGCCTCTCTTTCCTGGCTTGTGTCACCCCTGGCTTTTTTTTTTTTTTTTCTTTTTTTTTTTGCCTCCCTAGAACTCCTGATTCTCCCCATTCACTGGGATGCAGAACTGAAGGGCCATGTAGCTATTCATAGAATAAAGGAAAGGAGTGGAGGAGAGGCAGGCTGGGGTTTTACAATAGATGAGAACTGAGGGGGCATCTGCCATGATGAAAGGGATTCTAAGAAGTCCACACTTTTGGAAAGTGTGTACTGCATTATACAGTTTCCCCTCTTTATCACCATTTCCCCAAGAGACTGACACAATTTAGGGTTGGAATTTGTTTCTTTTAAATGGGCTCAGTGGGAAGATGGGCCTTATGGAAAGAATGAAGCAGTGTCCCCAGTGTATAGTTAAGTGGGTATGACGGCTTCTGACCTTGAGCCCAGGGTCTTCCCACTGTGAGTCTCCAAGAGCCTGGGTCTCTTTGTCGCCCCGTGCTGTACAGACAGGGGCCTCATCAAGCCTTCCCAAGAGCAGTAGTGATCTCGGTATCACACTGGACATCTTTCAAAAGGGATGGTGAAGTCTTCGTCATCTTAATGGCCTAAAATAGCTATCATCCCCCAGGGAAAAGCACACCTATGATGAAAGAACTGTTCTCTCTCCTTTAACAAGTTTATAAGATACATATTTCAAGAGTTCAGAAAAAGGAAAAGTGACGAATAAGTTTGAGTAACGACAAAATATTAATTTTTTAAAAAAGATTTTATTTACTTATTTGACAGAGAGACAGAGGTCACAAGTAGGCAGAGAGGTGGAAGCAGGCTCTCTGCTGAGCAGAGAGCCCAACGTGAGGCTTGATCCCAGAATTTGATCCTAGGACCCTGAGATCATGACCTGAGCTGAAGGCAGAGGCTCAACCCACTGAGCCACCCAGGCACCCCCTATGTTACTGCCTTTTGATTGTGGAGGAATGATTGTTGAATGAGAAAATCTTTAAAAAAGATTCTAGGCCAAAGGAATGAGCATTGCTCATTTTCATTTTAAAATGCTACTATTGTATTATACATGTTTAAATCTATGAATTGATTTTAATATTTAATATTTTACCTATATCTGGAGACTTTTCTTGCTTAAACAGGTGGAACTACTTAATGGAGTCTCATAAATACCTTCAGACAGTAAAAGTTCATTTTTACAAGTTATTCTGCAAAACTGTTGATTAATATGTGTATTTCTTAATTTACAAAGATGAATTACACAGATGAATTTACAAAGATAAACTACAAAGATGAATACCACAGTATAATTATTTGATTTTTTGACAAGTTTTTTTTGAAAAAAATGAGGCCCCCAGGTACATTCTATGAGGTGGTGGATGAAAATAGTTGGTGGTTTACTTTGAATTACTTTTCCTAGGTTTCAAATTCACTAGATAACTTGGTGTTATTTGACCAGCAGACCAGTGGGTGGCGATGAAGACCGACCGGTTACAATCCCCACCCCCTCCCTCGGAAGGAAGTAGAACTGGGGTTGGGCTCAGGTCCAGGAATAGCAGCTGTGGACGAGGTATAATTTCATTGAGGACATATAGGAAACCCCACCAAACAACCTCTTAATTGTCTTATGTCTACAGTTATTATGCTCGGTTCACACAATGAAATGGAGATACAGACAGTCAAAAGCAGCCTGGTATTGTGATTGATTTTTAAAAAGATCTCGTGAGACAGGCAATGTGGCAGGCATTATCCCCCCTACCCCATTTTACAGCTGAGTGAGCTGAGGTTCAGAGAGGTTGATGGAAGTCCTATCTGTGATGATTTGGGGAAAGTCTGGACTTCTTTTACAAAGCAGAGACTCAGCTCATTCCCACATTTCCAGGAAATGTTTTCTCTCCCCTAACCCCCAAGTCATACAACAAAGAAGACACAGAAACAAAAGAGCAGGTCATTCCTGAAGTAACTTTATGTAGTGCCTTTGTTATAGATGACAGAACCCTAGTTTAAAAAGCATCATCTGGAAATAATGGCAAAGAGAGAACAGAATAAATAGAATTAAAAAAAACCTATCAAGAATGAGACCTATATAGC